GAGAGATACTAGGTTGTCAAAACCATGTGTTCCTGAGTTTCAGAGCGAATGGTGGGAGTTCAAAGAGTAAGGCATACATCTGAACACTGGAATCTAGTTGGTCCCCAAGGGTCAGATAGCAGAGCTGGGGGAGAAAGGATGCAGATCAGGAAAAATAGCTACCCTAGCCACTTACTTGGGCCCGCTGTGGTGCCATTAGCGTTCCGGGCCCGGGGGAGTGCTGGAATGTAGGCGGAACAGCAACAACAAAAAGACACAATGAGAGGCTCTTCCTTTGTGGTCCTCGTGTGTGATTACTGTCTACCTCATGCTTTGTAAGCTAGTACAGGGATCAGGTCAGGGCTGCTCCCCCCATCCCCGCACCCCGCGTCCTCAAAGCTGAATGCTGTGCCTGGAGCCTAGTAGGTGCTCAGTGAGTACCTGCTGAAGGAATAAAGGAATGGACAATATAAACCTCTGATGCACAATGCCTTAAGGATGTAGGGTGCAGGCTCTGATTCTCTGCTTTGAGGAAACAGAACAGAAAGCAGCTAGGTGACAGCTAGCTCTGATCACCTCCATGCCCCGAGAGAACCTCCCAACTTGGACTGCTTCACCCAAGAGGAAGTGGGGCTAGTTCACGGCAAAGGATATCCTATAATGCTACAAAATGACAAAGCCCTCGGCTGGTAGATGACACTTCCAGTTCCCTCCCTTTACTGATGGGTTTCCCAGATGCTACTGGGTTGGCAAGTTAAACCTGCTCTGTTTGCGTGTGGTATCTTTCAAATGGTTCCTTGTGAGTTGTTCTGGCCTCATACCTCACACCATAAACACCACTCCAGACTGAGACTGTACCTGCCTCTTTACTCCATGCCCCGTCCCCTCACCATCCAGCCCATGCATGCACGCAAGGGAATCACAAAATCTTCACCTCCAGCAAATCTGATGACTATGACACTCAATCACTCATAAGAGGCCAGGAGGTTGGGGAAGAGAGGGCCATGCAGTTTCCAGTGTCAAATCCCCTCCCTGCCCCACAATGGTTCTGAGGCGGGGAGTCCCCCTGGCCTCACAGGAAGGCCGCACATACGGGTCACTCGGCAAAGGCCTGCTAACCCCCTGCTGCTGCTCCCCCACCAAGTCTCTCACAATTAATTCAGTGTTGCCAAGTCACGCTCCTTGAAACAGACCCCAGGACTCATTTCCAGGATGTTTTTGGCTGCCTGACAACCTCTTCCTGTTTTGGAAGCTAGAAAGTGACATTTAAAAAGCCAGGGAGCTTTCATTATTTTTTTAAAAAAAGATTCCATTGACTGAAGAGAGAATGTGGCGTCTCTCAACGGCAGAGACGCGCTCACCCCTGAGGAACTGTCGCCTCCACTTAGACTAACTACCTTCGTGCCTCACTTTTTGGCCTAACCATTTCTGAAACTATTTTCTCTCATGTTCCCATAGTTTCCTTGTGTGTCAGAGGCTATGAAGTTGCTCCTTTTTGTTAATCATGACACATTTCAAATGAACCCAGAAGACAGTGTGAAAATACATTCTAAAGAAAGCTTGCTCTCTTCATGTGTACATTCGCTGAAAGGAATTCACCAGCAATATTTTCTTTCATTCAAAATGCTCAACCTCTGGTTTAATACTAAGCTAAGTGATTAAAAGAATAAAAAGGTAGAATAGGGAATTAAAGATTCTACAAAGGGGCGCCTGGGTGGCTTAGTGGGTTAAGCGTCTGCCTTCGGCTCAGGTCATGATCCCAGGGTCCTGGGATCAAGCCCTGCATTAAGCTCCCTGCTCAGCGGGGAGCCTGCTTCTCCTTCTTCCTCTACCCCTCCCCACCCCCACCACTTATGCTCTCTCTCTCTCTCTCTCTTGCTTACGCTCCCCTTCTCTCTCTCAAATAAATAAAATCTTAAAAAAAATAAAGATTCTACAAAACCATGACCTTCACAATGGCAAGTGACATGGTTTCATGGTACCTTTAAACAAGACTACAGGGACCCAAGATGAGGCTGCCTAGTGACAGAATGGGGAAAAGTCCCTGTACACGTTCTTGCCTCCTCCATTTGGAAAGGCGGGAACCCCTTTCCCTTTGAGCAGGACCTGGGGAGGCAGCACCTGGGAAGGGGATGGGCCAGCTGCATCATGATGGCCATATATGAATGGTGTCTGGCCATCCAGCTGCCCACATGGTACAGAGGGGAGATGGAGAGATTCTCCAGAAAATAGCTCTTGGAGATAGTGACATCTCTTTTTCAAGGCCAAGTTCCCTTGTTAGATTTGTGGCTGGGAATCCTGTCACACCATGTTAATTTCTGAGATGAAGGCCCAAGTACAGTTTAGATTAAGGGTTTAGGGCAAGCTAAGATGAAGCTGAGGACTTTCATGATATGATGAATCTCTAAAAGTAAATGCCCCTTCTAAGGCAGCATGTGGTCAGAAAAAGTACCTCTATTGGTACTCTGGCTATTTAGGTTAAACTCTAATTGGTCATGTTTTTTTTTTTTTTTCAAACAGTCCTCTCATGTTTTATTTGCACATGCAATTCCTCAACCTTTGTCCTGATGAAAGGAGTATCTTAGGTTGCAGAAAATTATACATGGTACCTTTACTTGGCATATTAGCTGCGCTACTTACTAGCTCTGACTTTGGACAAAGTGATTAACCTGACCAGCCTGTTTCTTCAGCAGTAGCACTGGAACGAACCAGTACCTACTTCCGATAGTAGTTGTGGGGATTAACCTAGTTAACTGTGAACATGCCCAGTAGGCATTTCATAAATCCCTGCTGTACTATTCCTACTAACAGTGAAGGCTTGGGACAATTCACCAGCAGTCGCAAGTTTATCTGAAATGCAATGAAACCTTTGTTCTTTGACACAGGGGTGGGTTAACTCTTACGCCAAAGCCTGAAAATTTTTTTTTTTTTTTGAAAGAGCACCTATATGGACTTGAGATTTATTTATTTTATTTGAGAGAGAGAGAAAGAGCGCATGTGAGAGAGAATGAGAGAGAGACAGAGTGGGGAGAGTGGCAGAGGGAATCTTTAAGCAGGCCCCTGGATCCCACAACCCATGAGATCAGGACCTGATCCGAAACCAGGAGTCAGACACTCAACCAACTGAGCCACCCAGGCACCCCTGAGCACTTATATGGACTTGAAAAGGCAAAACTAGATCCTGCTTTTATATATAATTAGGATAAAGCACATTCAATACTAGATTGAATCAAGTGATTAACAGCACAAGTTTCTCTGATTTCCCCTTCATTTCACAACATAAATTTCATTAGCAATAATCATACATTTATATATGCTAGCTACTAGCCTCTTATCAGACATGATTTGCAATTATTTTCTCCCATTCTGTGGACTGTATTTTCACTTTCTTTTTTTTTATTATGTTACGTTAGTCACTTTCTTTTTCTTAATCATTTTATTTTTTTCAACATGGTAAGTGTACTCTTTAATTTCCATCCCCTATTTCCCCTAACCCCACTACCTTACTTCTGGTAACCATTACTTTGTTCTCTATAATTGAAGAGTCTTGTTTCTTGGTTTGTCTCTTTTTCTCTTTGCTCGTTTGTTTTCTTAAATTCCACATACGAGTGGGATCATATAGATTTGTCATTCCCTGACTTATTTCCCTCATCATTATACTCTCTAGCTCCATCGATGTTGTTGCAAATGGCAAGATTTCACTCTTTTTTATGGCTGAAAAATATTCCATTGTATATATACTACATCTGCTTTATCCATTCGTCGATTGATGGACACTTGGACTCTTTCCATAGTTTAGCTATTGTGAATAATGTTGCTATAAACATACAGGTGTATATATCCCTTTGAATTAGTTTTTGTATTTTGGGGATAAATACCCAGTACTGCAATTACTGGATTGTAGGGTAGTTCTATTTTTAATCTTTTGAGGAACCTCCATACTGTTTTCCACAGTGGCTGTACCAGCTTGCACTCCCACCAACAGTGCATGAGGGTTCCTTTTTCTCCACATCCTCACCAACACTTGTTGTTTCTTGTGTTGTTGATTTTAGCCACTCTGACAGGTGTGAGGTGATATCTCATTGTAGTTTTGATTTGCATTCCCCTGATAGTAAGTGATGATGAACATCTTTTCATGTGTCTGTTGGCCATCTGTATGTCTTCTCTGGAGAAATGTCTGTTCATGCCTTCTGCCCATTTTTGAATTGGATTGTTTTTTGGGTATCGAGTTATATCAATACTTTATATGTTTCAGGTATTAATCCTTTATCACATACATCATTTGCAAATATCTTCTCCCATTCAGTAGGCTGCCTTTTAGTTTTGTCATTTCCTTCGCTGTGCAGAAGTTTTTTTTTTTTTTTAAAGATTTTATTTATTTATTTGAGAGAGAGAGAATGAGAGAGAGAGAACACATGAGAGGGGATAGGGTCAGAGGACGAAGCAGACTCCCTACCGAGCAGGGAGCCCGATGCGGGACTCGATCCAGGGACTCCAGGATCATGACCTGAGCCGAAGGCAGTCGCTTAACCAACTGAGCCACCCAGGCGCCCTGTGCAGAAGTTTTTATTTTTTTAAGATTTTACTTATTTATTTGAGAGAGAGCAAGAGCACATGAGATGGGGGAGGGTCAGAGGGAGAAGCAGACTCCCCGCTGAGCAGGGAGCCCGATGCGGGACTCGATTCCGGGACTCCAGGATCACGACCTGAGCCGAAGGCAGTCACTTAACCAACTGAGCCACCCAGGCGCCCCAGAAGTTTTTATTTTGATGTAGTCCCAATAGTTTATTCGTATTTTCACTTTCTTGAATAATCATAAATTTAGCTTTTGATAAAATCTTGCTTTTATACAAATCTATGGATACAGTCAACTTTAAGTTAGTTGGTTTTGAAAAAAATTTTCTCTAAATTTCAATAATACTATTTTCCTTATAAAATGTATTCTATTGTGTTAATATATACTCAAATTATCAGGTAAGTATTTCTTACAGAATGTGATCTGTACAAAAAGAATAAAGCCGTAGTGATAATGTGACAGTTACTTTTGGTTCTGTCATTTTATTCAGGTCATCAAGGGGGTCCATCAGATTCAGTGGGAAGCTGAGGGTCAAGGGCCACCACTGTCAGGCTGCATTCTTTCTTATTTCACCCAAGAAGTCATAGGTCTGCTCTGAAATGTCAAAAGGTTCATGGACTCCATCTGGCGACAGCAGAGCTTGGAGGGCGCCCTCGTTTTCTTGGTTTTGCTTAAGGAAGTCAGCAATAACCTTCCACCGGGCAGCCTCTGTCTCCTCTTCTGCCCATCTGAACGGGGGCAGGAGTGTGGAATGCAGAAGAGGGACCACACAGTCGTGGTAAACCAGGAGAAACATGGCCTTCAGGAACTCTCTGTCTCTCTGGGAAAACACCACCACCACAAATAAATGTGAAATGATCTATATCAATACTTTTTAAGTGTTACATACTATGAACTCTGTAAACTAAAATCCATCTAAGGGGTGAGGTGGAGGGTGCCATTAGTGTCTGGCAAGTAACTGGCTCTGAACCAGCTACTCAGTCGGGAAACCGCACTCTCTGAAGTGGAAGCAAGCAAGAGTCACTATGGAGGAGAGATGAGCTATTCTCCCTGAGAGTCTGGGAGAGACTCGACGCCAGGCCAGCGAGTCTCCTAAGCTCCCCTGAGGGTGTCTCACACATTCCACTGAGGACACTGGGGTGCTGAAATCTAGTTCTGGTGACAAGGGTGTGGTTCCAGGTGAACATAACTAAAACACAATGTGAAGTTGGCTGTATGCACTTAATTAGATTACAGCATATCAGAGACAATATCACGTTGATATAAGTGAAGGGTGGCATGAAATCCAGAGAAAGGAGACCCGAGGAGTAAGAATGTGCAGATCTTCTCCAGACAGCAAAAGTACTGCAGTATGGACACAACCAGTCAACCCCTGACACTGACAGGCTGGGGTAGGACTCTCAGGGAGCATGGAAGTCTGAAGGTGGAGATATCTATACGCAGCAGATCTACATATGGATACTGCCCCTCCAAGCAACCGTGTGTGTGGGGGGGGCGCAATTTCTACAGGTCTGAGGCCCAGCACCTTGTCCACTGCTGCCTTAGAAAAGCATTAAACCTGCCGGTTTTAGCAAAGGTCAAGTGTAGACACTACTGGTCAAATGGAAGCTCAAATAAGGATACAACACACTTTTACAATACATAGTGTGTGTGTCTGTGTGTGGACATACACATATATATAATAAACAGTTTATGTTTCTTAAAATTTTTAGGAGTTTTAATTTGCTCTCCCATGTTCCTTGTAGATAATTAACATTCTAGACTTGAAGTCCAAAAACCATGGACCGTAAGTCAAATGCAGCCCACTACCTCTTTCTGTAAACAAAGTTTTAGAGAAACACAGCCACGCTCAGAGTTCACATGTAGTCTGTAGCTGGCTTTGTGCTGCCATGGCAGAGTTGAGTGTTGTACCAGAGTGTTGTATGTAAGGTCTCTTATCATAATTTATTGATAACACAATCAGACTCAAAAATAGTTACTATGTGGCCCTTTACAGAAAAAGTTTGTCAACCCTGGATGGGAGCAGTGAAGCCATTACTCACTGGTTAATACAAGCTCTGTTTGGTAATCACCAAGCTTCTATGGTAATGTAAGCATGAGTCATACATTTTTTCAATGTATTACACTGGGTAGGCCAATTTTCCTTTTCCTTCTCCTTACATGATATGGACTTTGAGAGCTAGAGGAATTTTTTAAAGTAAGAGAAATATGATAGCCAACTGGAGACTTTGTTTAGAAACTTCTCCTCAAATAACACTCAGTGATCTGAAATGATTGTTTTGATCAAGTGTTTCTTTTCACACTGGGACTCGCTCACCCATACCTTCTTGGAACATGTCTCTGCAACGACGATGGCACAGTTTATCTGATTAAGAGGGATTATGACTATGGCTACTTTGGCTAAGACAGAAGCATTATTAGCATGTGTAAGCAAGCAGTGAGCCCTGCAAATATTTAGTTTAGCGTGGAAAATCACATTACCTTCTCTGATCTTTTTAATGTGCTTTCTTTCTCAGCCCATGAACTCTAAAAAGCAAATAAATATGTTATATTAATACCAGTATTCATAAGCCTTTGCCACACTTCTGCAATTTCACGGTAATTAAACATATGGACAGGGTTAAAAACGCTGTACGGACCCTATACATATAAATAGTGAATCTGTAGGCACCTACAGATTCTGCTAATGACCAGAACCAGACCCACAGGGCGGTGAAAGCTACCGGAAGCATCATGATTCTTCTAAGTCGAAACTAATTTAAGAACAGAATCAGTGAAACACGAACATATCCATGCAAAATGCAGAAACATAGCACCTGAACAGTAAAATACTATTAAGGTTTTAAGGTCAGACGGTAATGAAAATAGAGAATTCTGCCAAATACCATACTTCTCTGCAATTCTGTCTGCTGTGATGATGACGGGGGCCAGGAGGAGATGAAATGAAGTACAACTTTGCAAGTAAATATCCCCATCTGTTCATAAAACTTCACACAAGCTTCTTTAAAGAAATTAAAAAACAAACCAAGTGCAATTATTCCCACAGAAATATGAATTGAAGACATTCTCAGCACCAGTTCTGGGCAAACTGTGAGCGGGGGGCGGCGGGGGGAGGGCGGGAATGTGCCCACTACTCTAGGCTCCGTTTTGTGCCTGCCTGCAGGGATTCTCCTGTTGGTGCCTGATTTCATGGATTCCATGAAAGCATCAGCCCTTGTCTCAGTGGGGAGGCCCTGGGGTGAAGATGACACATGGCACCAAGAACAAGATTCTCCATGAAATGAAGGAGAAATTTCCTACCAAGAGATCACAGGCTGTGCCCCTAATGCGCCACGTCTTGGGATGGTCCCATTTACCATGATCTGTTACCATGAATGGTCAGTTATTACCATGAAATAACCACCTTATGAGACTGTGGTCCACCACCTTATTGACTGCTGGACCTGTGGGTCCTGGAGAGTTTGAAGAGGACCCTTAGAGAGCCAGGGTGCTTTACCAAACAGGCAGGTACTATTATTATTATTATTATTATTATTATTAAAACACCACCAACAAACTACACTTACCTAAGTTGATGCTAGGAGGCTCACACACTTCATGATAGAAACTTTAAAAGGTATCTGGCTTCACATGACTATCACTTAGCAACTTTAGACTTAACAGCTGGTAAAATGTGCCTACTGTTTGTTGTGTCAAGGTCTCACTTTATTTTTCACTGAGCTACCAGCAAGCAGTAAGGTGTTTCACTTATAGTAACTCAGTGTCGAACAGCAAACGTATGTGTGTGCGCGCGCGCGCGTGTGTGTGTGTGTGTGTGTTGGGGGGTCACTACTATACACCAAGATCCACTTCTTCCTTCCTTCTGGAGCAAACAGAAGACGCCATCTCCCAGCTCTCTTGAAGTTAAGTGGGGCCTTGTGACTGGTTCTGGCCAACGAAATGTGAGTAGAAATGGCCTATGCCACCTCAGGGCAAAGGCAGTGGAAAGTCCAAGGACAATCCTCTATTCTCTCTTTCCCTTCATGTGCAACTGGCAACAGAGAAGCCACCTGTTCTAGATGACGCTATAAGGAAGTGGCGCCTCCACTAGCTTGCATCCTTGGGTGACTATGGAGCAGGGTCTTCCACTGATCCATGCTGGAAAGGTACCATGAGTGAGAAATTAACCTGTATTAGCTACCACCTCACAGGCCAGCTTATCCTAAGTAACATGGTATGCCATGAAGACAGGGCTCAAGAGTATAGAAATAAAGCGCTCTTTTTTATTTTTATTATTTATTGTACAAATAATTAACTGTGGAAAAGTTAATACAGATAAACAACTCATGATCCAGACGTAATCAGTATTACCTTTCTAGAGTATATTCTTCCAGATAGTTTTACAGGCAGATACATAAATGTAAATATATATATTTAAATACACTTACTACAACTCAATGATTTTTTTTCACTTTAATAATGTGTATGAACAACTTCACCTATGTGCCTTTTCTTGAGCCGGTGGCGCATCTGGACGCACCCAGACTGACCTGCAGTGCACTTGCCTGGGCTATCTGCTCATCAAGAAATGCAGAATTTAGACTAGCTTAGTGCTAAAGCTCCAGATTCTATGAGTGTTACACACCTGGAGAAAATGCCAGCACCTACACGGGGCCGTAGCCACAGTGAGCTCTCGCAAAATACTTGTCGAATGAATCAGTGGACTTCTGTTCTGTATAATGAATAGATATTACGATACTAATGACTTTATAGGGGAAAAAAAGAGAAATTCTGCATTATCTAATGCTAGTGCCAAATGAACTTGTCTGAAATTATGGACAGTCATATGCCATTAAGTCTTTTTGCAGAAAACTTCATTATTACTGTTGACATGCCAAACCTAGCCAAACCATCACATGAAATCAGCTTCAAAATCTTTGTAAAAATCTTTGCCGGTGATTGCTTCCTCCTTCCATTTCTCTGTCAGGCCCACAGGACCTCTATCCTTACTGACAGGAATCACCTGCTAGCGTAGCTCATCTCCCTCCTGTATGGGTACTTTTCTGCCTGTGTGTCAGAGGCTTTCCGAAAGCAGAACCCTGTACAGATTATCCACCGTCTCCCATACACACTCTTTCCTGGCAATGTGAAGACTCAGATCCACTTTGCCCCCCTGCAGATGGCATTCTACATGCCAAACTGGATCCTTTGCTCTTCTTAAGAGCAAATAGAATACTCTCTATTCCTTCCTGCTTTAAAATGTTGGCTCATGCTGATCCTTCTATCTGTAATTTCTTCCCTCCCATCTCAGCATGTCAAAATCCGACTTGGCCCCAGCTTTTTATTAGGTCTATCTCACTGAGGACCTCTTATGAAACAGGTTCCTGATCCTCATTTGCTGCCCTCTTTAAATCTTCAAGGACCTGGATTATACATCCCTGATGGCACTTATCATGGTATCTGAGTACTGCCTTGCAGGCACAATGGACTCCTAATATTTGCTGACTCTGACATATTAAGTTCAAAAAATGGCTGAAAATTAGAGATTTCATATGGTTGAGACTAATATCCAGTTGCTATTTCATATAGCAGACAGTATATGTTGAATTAAAATAAAAAATTATATGCATGCCCTGATTCTCTTCTGAGAGGTCAGTTGATTTACCTAACAAACCATTTTGGATTTTTGCTCTTAGGACACAATCAGTGGCCATCTTAAGTCAAGGAATAAACAACAGGCAAGAGATTGCAGCAGCGTGCATAGCAGGTACTCCATCTGCTTATCGGGGCAGGGAAGGCAGTCTTGGGAAGTAACATTCATACTAAGGAGGGAAGGATGAGACCAAGTTAACTAGACAATGGACAGGGGTTGGGAGACACTGTCCAAATAGGAAAAAAACCCCAAAGAAACCCTAGAGCAGGTATCAGAATTCACTAACATGGTGTGTTTAACTAATTTCAGAACCCATCAGGTTTCCATCATGGTGTGTGCTACCTACCCTGAGTGCGTCCATCATGTCAGGCTGCTCCAAGAGCTTGGGGAAGGTGGCCAACACTGGGTTACTAATTAAGTCTGAAATACAAAAGAACAAAAAGGATTTTATATAAACTTCGTCCAATGTATTTGACTGCAACAGTCATAAAAACATTCATTCAGACAAAAATTATTGTGCCACATAATTTATTGATAACACATTCTACACACTTTAACCTCTAGGAGGGCTCAAAGCTGTCTGCTCAACCTCCATCCACACCTATATTCATACCGCAGGGAGTTCTGAAATGAGTCTTGTACCAAGTAGATAGAGCTTTTAGGGAGAAACTAAAGTGGCTCTGAACAGAATAAAACTAGAAAATTTTGTTCTTTCTTTGTCATTTCCCAATCTCTTTCCTCCTTATGATGTAACTGTGGTATGGTAAAAGGAACTAGTTAGAGAACTTATATAACTCAACACCAAAAAGCCAAATAATCCAATTAAAAAATGGGCAGAAGACATAAACAGACATTTCTCTGAAGAAGACATACAGATGGCCAACAGACACATGAAAAGATGCTCAATATAACTAATCATCAAGGACAAATCAAAATCAAAACCACAGTAAGAAGGGCGCCTGGGTGGTTCAGTCAGTTAAGCGTGCAACTCTTGATTTCAGCTCAGATCATGATCTCAGGGTCGTGAGATCAAGCCCTGTATCGGGCTCCGTGCTCGGTGTGGAGTCTGCTTAAGATTGTCTCTGTCCCTCTCCATTTGTCCCTCCCCCACCCACTTGCACTCTTTCTCTCTCTCTCTAAAAAAAACAAAAAACCACAACGAGATATCACCTCGTACCTGTCACAATGGCTAAAATAAAAAACACAAGAAATGACAAGTACCGGCAAGGATGTGGAAAAAATGGAACACCCATGCACTATTGGTGGGAATGCAAATTGGTGCAGACACTGTAGGAAAAAGTTCTTCAAAAAATTAAAAATGGAATTATCATATGATCCAGCAATTCCACTAGTGGGTATTTACCCAAAGAATCTGAAAACACTAATTTGAAAAGATACATGTGCCCCCATGTTTACTGCAGCATTATTCACAATAGCCAAATTACGGAAGCAGCCCCATATCCATAGACTGATGAATGGATAAAGAAGAGATACACACACACACACACACACACACAGAGGAATATTATTCAGGAATAAAAAAGAATGAAATCTTGCCATCTGCAACAACTTGGATGGATCTAGAAGGTATAATGCTAAGCAAAATAAGTCAGTCAGAGAAAGACAAATCCCATATGATTTCACTCATATGTGGAATTTAAGAAACAAAACAAATGAACAAAGAAAAAAGAGACGAATGAGAAATAGACTCTTAACTATAGAGAACAGATGGTTACCAGAGGGGAGGTGGGTGGGGGAATGGGTGAAATAGATGAAGGGTATGAAGTGTACACTTATTGCAATGAGCACTGAGTAATATATAGAATTGTTGAATCACTATACGGTACACCCGAAACTAATATAACACTGTATGTTAACTATACTGGAATTTAAAAAAAAAAAAAAAGAACCAGCTAGGAAGCACCCCTGCTCTTAGAAGGCTGAGCAGGAACCAATAAGTGCCGGGGGATAGGAGACCCGGGGCAGGCTGCTCAGGCCTGACTCCAGTCCACCAGAGCTCAGGGAAGGACCCCAGAACTGGTGTTGGGGTCAATGGATGGTGGTGGATGAAAATGAAAGGAATCAGGAGTTGAGGATTCTAGCCATAGGCCTAAATATTGTGTAGGAGAATACTGATATTCCACCATAAATAATGGCACGTGAAAGACCTGTGCAAAGAAGCACAGCAGGAAGGACACTCTTGAAATGGCATGGGCAATATAGTCTACTGTCTTGTTTCCTCAGTAGAGAAAAATCCTTCCTCTAGGCCTTACCAGGTTTATTCTGATGGTCAGATTCAAATAATGACAATGGTTCTGAGTAATCTCCTTCCCAACAAAAAAGCTAATAAGCCTTATTCTCTCTAAGAAGCCATATCATTCATGAAGTTTTTCTAGAGTCACTGAAATAAATTCAAAGGCAAGTGATGATGAAAAAGCTTAAAGTGTCCTTCCCTTGGAGTTATAATTATTCCTTGAGAAATGGTGGTACTTCCCTGATGCAGAGTTCCATTTCTATCTCCCTATCAGGTGCTAAGTCCCTGGGAAAGGACTCCTGTCTAACCATGAACTCTACTTATGCACGAGTGCTAAGCCATCATAGGGTTCTTGGTCTTGCTCACCCTGCTCCAGCCACACTGGCCCACTTTCAACTGCGATCCCTCCAACATACTTGGGTGGTCTTGCTCCGGGAGTTTGGATAATGGCCCCTCTGCCCAGACATGCTCTTCCCGCACACCTCTAACTCCTCTCTCAGGTCTTATCTTAATATTACTTGCCTACAGACTTCCCTGAGGTCTTCCTAGTGTATGCTCATGTTGGCTTTCTTCCTTTAGAACACTTATTTTAGAAGGTTGAAAAGGATTATTCATATAATTTTGTGTTTGAAGTCTGTCACTCAACCAGGGTAGGGATGCCCGTGCCTGTCACGTCCATCACGGGGCCTTGTACAATGGCTGGCATATAGGAGGCACTCAGTACATATCTGCTTACTGAGTCACTGAGTTCAAAGACTCTTCATTAAAATTAAACTGCCTTTTTTTTTTTTTTTAAGATTTTAGTTATTTATTCCAGGGGAGGGGGAGGGAGGAGCACAGGAAGAGGGATAAGCAGACTCTGTACTGAGCGTGGAGCCCAATGCGGGGCTCAGTCCCAGGACCCTGAGATCATGACCTGAGCCAAAACCAAGAGTTGGATGCTTAACCGACCGAGCCACCCAGGCGCCCCCAGAGGCAATTCTTATAACACATGTATATCTCTTTGCAAGTTCAATCATGTGCGACAAGTCATTATTTTTTTAAAATTATTTTTTAACAGTTTACTGGGAAAAAGTTTCAAGCTCACAAAGAAGTTGTAGAATTTCTCTTACCTGTATTCAATTTTTCCTAATTTGTTGATATTTAAACTGCATGCATTAAGAACCAGTTATTTTGGATGATTTTGGTCTCTTCCCAAAAAGATGATGTATATGCCAAACATGTGGTAAAAACAGGTTATTCAAGACATTGAGGGAAAATATGATTATATCTGAGTTTTAGGATCTTAAATTTCCAGAATTTGTAATGTGAAAATATGCATATTGTAAAGAACTGAATATATACTGAGCTCACACAGGATATACACAAGTGCACAATGGAGTACAATGCTGTGCATTTGAGGTAATTTATTCACATTGACGCAATTCAATATATTTTATTCCAAATGTCACCTTCAGAAGCAGAAGATAAAGGATGGCATAGGTTACATTTACTCAAAGCATGATGCATTACTGTACATAAGGAAACTGCAAAGACCCTTACCAGCACTTTGCATGCTCATCCTGTCTTTCAGGAGTACATCTCCAAGAATTTGGCGATAAAATACCAACAAATGAATGGAACACATACTTCCAATTAATGTTTCTGGCAGTAAACTGTTAAAGAAGAAGAACATGTATTCATTAAACAACCCCCTACAATCCAACCTACAGTGTTTTTAAAATATATACTTACTACTTTAATGAACAGTTCCAAGTTTTGCTTCATTATTGAAAAAACTGTTCTACAATTTTAAAGAAAATTTCCACTATAAGTTGCCTACAGTAAACCTCAGAAAACTAATATTTCTTTTTTTTTTTAAACTAATATTTCTATTGTACACCTTCAAGTCTGAACTCTGTTTTGCCATTCTTATGCTTCCATTTTAGCATATACACCCATGTTAAATGTTAAATAAAAAAGAAAAGTCATCAATTATGTGTTTGGGGAAGAAAGGGACTAGTCAGCTACATGTTTTGACAAAGCCATGTGGCCACCCATCCCGATGTGATGAATGAAGAGGAAACAGGAGTTCAGACTGTTCATGGTGCCGGGTGGAACTTGGTAGGGTGTGGCAATCCGGACTGAATTCTGACTTTGCTTCTTCCCAGCTATTGTGGCTTTGGGTTAATTAATTATTGTCCTTGTGTTTTGGTTTCCTCATTTGTAGAATACAGACAGTAATACCTCCATTTCAGAGGCTTACTAAAAGGATTAAATTGAGCTAAGTGTGAAGTGCTTAATGTAATGCCTGCTCCAGAATAATGGCTCAAAAACCAAAGAAAATTTCAATATTGATGGTAAGTTGGTATCAGTTTAAAATAGATTATTATAACTTTAAGATGTTATATGTAATCCCCATGATAACCACAAAGAAAAAGTCTATAGAATATACACAAAGGAAATGAAAAAGGAATCAAAATGTGTCACTACAAAAAAATTAATCAAATACAAAGGAAGACATTAAGGGACGAAATGAGGCACAGTGCCCCAGAAGTCCCCCAGAAGATGTACAAAAAAACCCAAATAACAAAACAGCAATACTAAGTTGGTCCCTATCAGTTATTACTTTAAACATAAATGGATTAAACTCTCCAATCAAAAGACACAGATTGGCAGGGGAGCCTGGGTGGCTCAGTTGGTTAAGCGACTGCCTTCGGCTCAGGTCATGGTCCTGGACTCCCGGGATCGAGTCCCACATCGGGCTCCCTGCTCAGCAGGGAGTCTGCTTCCCCCTCTGACCCTCCCCCCTCCCCCCCCTCATTCTCTCTCAAAATAAATAAAATCTTTAAAAAAAAAAAAGACACAGATTGGCAGAATGAACAGAAAAACAGGATCTAACTCTATTCTATCTATAAGAAGCTCACTTTAGATCTATGGACACTCATAGGTTGAAAATGAAAGGATAGACAAAGACACTCCATGCAAATAGTAAACAAAAGAGAGCAGGGGTGGCTATAATAATATCAGACAAAATAGACTTTAAGTCAAAAAAACTGTTAAAAGAGACAAGGATATTATATAATGATAAAAGGGTCAATGCACCAAGAAGATATAAAAATTATAACACATGCAACAAATATTAGAGATCCTAAATATATGAAGCAGACATCAACAAAACTGGAAAGAGAAATACACAGATCTACAATCATAGTAGGAGACTCTATTACACCACTTTCAATAAAGAACAACCAGACAAAAGATGAGTAAGGAAATAGAAGACAACACTGTAGACCACCTATAACTAAGACTTTTACAGAACACTTTGCGCAGTAATAGCAGAATACGCATTTTTCTCAAGTGTACATGGGACATTCTCCAGGACAGGCTACAATACCAGTCTTACTGTTAGGCTGTTAGGCTACATATGTTAGGCTACAACACCAGTCTTAATAATTTAAAAGACTGAAATCATACGAAGTATCTTTCCTGATCACAGTGGAATGAAATTAGAAATCAACAGCAGAAGGAAAACTAGAAAATTCACAAATATATGGAGATTAAACATCACACTCTTAAGCAATCAATGGCTCAAAGAGGAACTCACAAAGAAAATGAGAAAGTATCTTGAGACAAATAAAATGAAAACATAACATACCAAAACTTATGGGATGCAGTGAAGGCTGTGCTAAGAGGGCTAGTTTATAGCTATAAATGTTTACATTAATAAAGAAAGATCTCAAATCAACCACCTAACTTTAAACCTTAAGGAACTAGGAAAGAAAAAAACAAATGAAACCGAAGTGTAGCAAAAGTTAAGAAATAATAAAGATTAGAGTAGAGATGGACAAAACAGAACAGAAAACAACAGAGAGAATCAATGAAAACAAGAATTGGTTCTTAGCAAAGATCAACAAAATTGACACCTTTAACTAGAGGACTAAGAAAAAAAGAAGATTCAAGTTATAAAATCAGAAATGAAGAGATGTTACTACTGATTTTACAAAAATGGAAAAGGATTGTAAGACAGTACTATGAATAATTGTATATCCACAAGTTAGATAATCTAGATGAAATGGACAAATTCCTAGAAACACAAAACCTACCAAGGCTGAATCAGGAATAAATAGAAAATATGAATAGATTTATAACTAGTAAGGAGATTGAATCAATAATCAAAGACCTCCCAATGAATAAAACCCCATGACAGATGGTTTCACTGGTTTATATACACTATGAACAAGTGGAATCTATTCCTGGAATGCAAGGACAGTTCAACATTAAAAAAATCAATCAATGTAATACACTACATTAACAGAATGAAGCAAAAACCCACATGATCTTCTCAACTGATGCTGAAAAAGAATTTGACAAAATTCAATATCTTTTCATAATAAAAACACTCAACAATCCTAGGAATAGAAGAAAACTACCTCCACATAATAAAGGCCATATATGAAAATCCCACAGCTAGCATCATATTCAATGGTGAAAGACCATAAACTTTTTCTCTAAGATCAGAAACAACACAAGGATGCCTGCTTTCACCACTTTTATTCAATATAGTACTAGAAGTCCTAGCCAGAGCCCCAGGCAAGAAAAAGGAACAAAAGACATCCAAATTGGAAAAGAAGAAGTAAAATTATCTCTGTTCACAGACAACATGGTCTTATATGTAGAAAACCCTAAAGATTCCACAAAAAACTGTTCAAATAAACAAATTCAACCAAGCTGTAGGATATAAAATCAGCACACAAAAATTAGTCTTGCTTCCATACACCAATAATGAACAATTTGAAAAGAAAATTAAAACCAATTCCACATACAATAGCATCAAAAAGAAGAAAATACTTATAAAAATAGAAACAAAATTTCAATATTATTTCAAAAATAATAATCTGGAAACATGACAAGTGAGTGCTTTAAAATCCTGACACATGACATGCACTAAGTGCCTACTGGGCATGTATACTGAGCACAAGAGCTAACATTAGAAGATACTCAAAAAAATGTCTTGAATCATTCTAAATATACATTTTCTAAATATTATTTTTAGAAATACATGAACTCGGGGCGCCTGGGTGGCTCAGTTGGTTAAGCAACTGCCTTCGGCTCAGGTCATGATCCTGGAGTCCCGGGATCGAGTCCCACATCGGGCTCCCTGCTCG